GTCAATGCAACTTTCAAAGGTTCGCAAAAAATTACAACAGAATTAGTTTTAATAGCTGTGTTGTAAAGTTTCATGTATAAATAAACAATTGTGTGCTCTTTGTATTAATATAAAATTGAGGCTTAGTAAGTTTTATCGGTAAAATAATTTAAAAATATAATTTTTCCACGTTCATAGATACTTTTTTTAAAGGAACACTGTATTGCATTATTACATCTTACATTGTTTTCTATCTTCATTCTCCCTCTAGAACAAAAAGCAATTTTATTCATCTATCTATAAAATTTTAACACAAATGTCAAAAATATCCTTCTTCGATTTATTTTTGTGGAGCTTGTGATGTTCAAAAATTAAAAAAAAAAGCTATAGTGTGACAACGGTGCATCGAAATTCTAAAAATAAAATCTGTTCGTAAAGTTAAAAAGGCAGTAAAAACATCTAGGTTATCCCATTAAAAAAAAACTAAATTGTGTTGCGCCCCAAAAACAGAACACTCTGTATAGCTGCAAATGAAAGTTCTGTTCATAGAGACGCACAGCTTTAGTCTTTGATTTCTTTCTTTATCTGCAAATTTATATTTTTATTACTGAATGTAACGACCAGCGCCTGTATAGCAGTTTGACTAAAACACCCTAGTAAATAATAATAGTAAAAACATTTTTGAGTCACGATTAATTTAACATATTTCTGAAAGAGCATCTTTAATTTTTTTGAAATCGAAGAAAAAATTAATTTTAGGTCAATGTTCTGTAATTTCTAAAGCAATATTTAGTATTCTTATCAAAATTTCCATATCCATTACGTAATTTCTGAGATGAATTTTAAAAGTATCTAGATGTATAGGATGACTAAGCGCGCATTCCCCGATATCTCATTAATTGTTAGAAATAGAAAAAAAAAGTCAAAGTTGTACGGTTCTTTGAGGACTATATTCTAAAATTATTTGTAACTATGCAGACTGTTTTGTTTTTAAAGCGTAACAATTTTTTCAACCTATATACTTTTTACATATTTTCATTGACCTCTTCTTAGGCTCTGCAACCGCTTTTTGAAATTCCGTTGTGACGTTGCCACATTATTCTAATTTAAAACAAAACTCAGTAGGATTATTTTCACTATCTGTGTTACAATATTTTGTGGAGAGATAAATAAAAGTACGTGCTTTGTTGTGGTATAACAAAACGAAATTTTCATATACAGAGTGCCGATAAAAAATGTTTAATTATTACGATACGTATTTTCTATATTTAAAATTGATAGTTCCTGCGATGTTTTACTTTTTTAAGACACATATCAGCATATTAGATGAAAAAATAAAGTAAGATACAGGGCGTTCGGTTTGAAAAAACTGAAACATTCGATATTTGACAAGTCTTAAAACTTTTTATAAACACAGAATAAAGGGCGTACTTTTATTTAACCTTCCACAAAATATGGTAAAACAGACTTTAAAAAGGTAACCCTATTGAGATTTTTTTTCTTTTCAATGCTAAAAAAATGACAACGTAGCTTCGGAATTTCAAAAATAAACAGTAGTTTTAAAGCCTAGGAACAGGCTAAAGAAAATATGTAAAAATATATAGGGTGTTTCATTAAAAAAAAATAAGTTGTGTGTAACGCCTTAAAAACAGAACACTCTGTATAGTTAAAAATAATTTTAGAGTATAGTCCTCAAAGAACTATACAACTTTGGGTTGTGGCTTTTTTTCTATTTCTAATAATTAATGAGATATCGAGAACACCGCACTTAATGACTCACCTATATATGTATTAGTACATACAGGGTGAGTCACTAAGCGCGCGGTCCTCGATATCTCATTAATTATTATTAAAGAGATAGAAAAAAAGCCACAACTCAAAGTTGTACGGTTCTTTGAGCAGCATACATAATTCTTTTTTTTTTATTTAGATCGGTTTGCAATATTTTATGAAAAGCTAAACAGGAGTAGGTGCTTTGTTATGGTATCACTTAAAAAATTAGTATATGTATAGATGTTGATAAAAAAAATAAACTTTACAATTTTCAAATACCGATATTTCAGTTTTTCCAAATAGAACACCTGTATTTTATTATTGTATCATTCACTATATGTTGTACACTTTATTTTGGTGTGTCTCTTAAAAATGTAAAAAATCTTAATAACTTCAAGTTCAAAGAAAATACTTAACAAAAAGAAAGAGAACGAAAAAAGAATAATCCAGGATGTCCGTCCTTTTTATAGTCTGTTATAAACACTGTGTATATTAAAACTCCATTTTATTTATACTATAATAAAGATCAAATCTTTATTTATCTCTTACAAAGTACTGCAACGCAGATTTCAAAATAGCCCTATTGCGATTTTTTTAAACTATGGTTATAAAGCTTAAACAGAGCAGAATACATGTATAAAAATATATACGCCATTTGAAAAACAAGTTGTGTTGCAGCTTAAAAACAGAACACTCTGTAAGTTAAAAATAAATTTGGTATAGTGTTAAAACCAAAATCATATGGTCCTTTGAGCACTATAAACTAAAATTATTTTCAAACATACAGAGTGTTCTGGTTTAGAGGCTTAACATACAATTTTCTTTTTTAAAACAGTGTATTTTACGTTACTTTGACCTCCTCGCATCGTAGGCTTTATAAACGTGGTTTATTTTTAAATTTAACAAAGATACGTGCTTTATTGTGGTATCAATTATATTAAATTTTAATATACCGAGTGTTCATAAATAAATCTAAAGGTTCAAGTATTCAAAAATCGATGTAAGTTTTTTTCAACTAGAACACTTTTTATTTTATTACTGCATTTTACTGTATTTCTTGTACTTTTTCTTTGGGTATGTCTCTTAAAAAAGCGAAAAATTACAAAAAAATATTGACTTTAGATATAGAAAATACTTAACAAAATAGAAAGAAAATAAAAAAACAAAGTAAGATGCAAGAATAAAATACAGGGTGTTTTATCTGAAAAAAACTGAAATATCGCTATCTGAATATTGTAATATTTTTTTATTTTTTTGTAACCAGTCTAAGTATATTAAGACTGACAAAATATTATTATTTACAGATTTTAAAAATAACCGATTTTTTTGTGAATTTTTGTACTGCCAAAAAAAATTCAAGAAAATTGAAATAACGTGGCAACGTCGCATCGTAATTTCCAAAATAAACAATGGTTTTGAAGCCTATAAAGATACCAAGAGAACATATTAAAATGTAAAAATATATGGTGTGTTTCAAACGGGACACCTCTATAGTTGACAATAATTCTATTGTATGCTCAAAGAACCGCACAACTTTAGTCTGTATTTTTTTTCTATTTGCTTACAGTGATTCACCCTGTACATAGTGTGACGAAAAAATGACGTACATGCTCCCTGGTACGTTGTTAAGAAGGCTCTGAAGAACTCGAAAAAAAATAGTTTAAAAAAATTCTGAACCAAATTTTTTAAAATATTAAACTTAAAAATTAAAGAAATAATTTCTAATTCTGATACATTGTAATGTGAATTTAATTTAAAATCAAAAATGGCATCTGTCGCCAGTAAAAAATGAAGTTGTGGATCGTACTCTAGCAACTATTATTAAATTATTGACAACTAATTATTTAACTGTGTATTGGATGATGCAGTTCATTAAAACAAATCAGAATTACGAAGTTAATTCTTCAATATTATTTTGACGTATTTTCAAAAGTTTGGTGCAGGGATTTTTTTAACCTTTGTACTATTGAGCATATAGATTACTTTTTCATCATCCTGTATACAAATATGACATTTTTTATTATAAATCTATATCTATATGCAAAGTCAAAAATTGAAAAGAATTTTGAACTTAATAGAATTTTGGGATTTTATGAAATCTTTGAACCAAATGAAATTTTTATTTATGTAAAATAAACCAATGTCCAGAGAATTGGTTTCCACTTTTTGCTGCTGCATGTAAAAGTTATATTGTTTTGATATGGTACGTTACACTCTTACATTATAGGGTTAACAACAACACTCTGGCCATTTGTTAAACAACGAATGAATGCTTAGTTATAATTATAACAAATGATAAATTGTTTCGACTAAAATTACTGTATTTATCTTAACGTAAGAAAATTAAAAAACACATCGATTATTATAAGTATTGATCTGTTCACAAAAGCACTAGTATTTGTCGACAACAATTTCTGTTATTAAACTAAAAATACAAGGGAGGCAACATTACGTTTTGTCAAATTAGTGTTAAATTAAATTCGGGTTTACGTATATAAAATCCATCATGAAACATTCAGTTACGCTTCCACAACCACTGGTAATTAGAAATAAGTAGATCACACTTCGTTATTTATAAATATTCATGTCTGTTTCAACTTACGTATTGGAACATTATATTTATTAGAGCGTGATTCTTTTCGACATATGTTTTGTTCAGAACCGATCTGTGTTAAAAATTGAACCGAAAATACCGTGAAGATTAAATTAAAAATAGTCAGACATGTATGTTTTTTCTACACGAGTACAGTGGCAATTATTACAAGTTAGTATAATGAGCGTGGGTGTTTATTTGTTTATGATATTTACAATGATTCCGTCGATTACAGTTAAATTTGGTATTTGGGCATTCGGGTCAATAACCTAAAAAAAATTGTTTTACCTGCCTGTGTGCGGTTAATCGTACGACTGACCCCTCATACTCCCCTGAGAGCTTTTTGATTATGAATTATGTTAATGAAGTTTTGTTACGAAACTCACTGTGCGAGTTAAAATTATCCGTACTTGTTATCGTACACCGGGAATAAAAACATTAAGTTCGTTACGATTTATACAAAAATACTGCTGTGGGCATGATCTATAAAAGCAGAAAATTTGGGAAAAACTAATTAACTGTTAAATGAAGTACCAAAAACAAGGTCGCTATTATCTCTAAAACTAAGCGTTTCTTCTAAGTTTAAAAAAATCTATAACTCAAAATACAAAATCCGGAAAATACCTCTGCATGTAGAACAACTAAAGAAACTCACTCTGACTCGTTGTTTTCAAAAATAAGTTGCCCTTCATTAGCCTCGTACTCCTTTCCGGCCTTAGCCGTTCCGTCCTCCGTCCTGTAGGGCACAATCACCCTTCCTCTAGCCCCCGAACACCTAATCACTCTCAGTTCGTAAATCCCAACACTCTCCACCAACTCGTGGTTCTGCTCCTCAAACTTGAACAACCCTCCGTGGTCATCATCCAGAATAATAACAGTAGCCAAAGTGGGCGATCCCAGAACTCCCGCCGGCTTAGCCCCCCTCAGCTTCACAAAGAAATGCTCATCCGGCTCAAAAACATCATCATCGATCACCTCCAACGCCACCCTCTTCTCCTTTTCCCCAGGCCCAAAGTGCAACGTCCCCTTAGTCGGAACGTAATCGCTTCCAGCCTGTGCCGTCCCGTCCTCGGTGAAGTAATCCACGCTGATCGCGTTGTCCAGGTCGCCGGTCCTGGCAATCCTAACCTCGAAACGACCGCAACTCTCCAAAACCGTGTATTTGGAAGGCTCGAAAAATATTCGAGTGTTGGAAGGGTTGAATTCCGCGGCGCCGGATTCGCGCTGGATCTCAGCTTTGATCTCGCTGAGGTCGCTCTGGGCCCTCTCGGAGATGCGCCGGAGGAGGTCTCCGCTGCCCATGAGCTTCCTGGTGGCCTGGATGCGGTAGAAGGCCCGCGATTTGGGGCCGCGGTTGAGGAGGCTCTCATGGGCCATGCGCTCCAGGGCGCTGAGGTCGGCGTGGGGGTGCTGTTGGCGCAAGTCTTTCAAGGTGTTGATGTATTCTTGCTTGATGTCGTCGTGGACATCGTCGAGACCGAGGAGTTCGGCGCTGCCCATTTCTAGGTTGTCGCCTTCGGCCTGGACGATGACGCCGCGGCGGTTCATTCTGGAAAGAAAAAAATTATTCAAGGTTAGACAGAACTCGTCCTTGAAATACCAGTAGTGCAACAAAGACAACTTCTTCGAAAAATTATAGAATTTGATTTTTCCAAATTTTATTTTTATGCCAACCCATGTAAGTTAAAAAATTGGTCGAAGGTTATTTCGACGGAACTTGCCTCGCCTTCGAGGTACAGCCCAACATATCCCGCTTCTTTGAAAGATTATAAAAAATGTTTGTGATTTTTGTTTTCTTATCACTTCTATTTTTGACTTCAATTTTTCAATTCTTCAATTATTATTTTTTGTCTGTTTGTTCAATCTATCGATTTGCAATTTTTTCGACTTTTCAACTATTAATTTTTCAATTTTCAATTTTCCAACTTTTGAAGTTCTCAATTTTTAGATTTTGCAATTTTTCGGTTTAAAATTTGTCGAGTTTCAAGTTTTTAATTTTTCAATTTTTCGATTCTTTCATTTTTCATTTCTTCAAATTTTCGATTTGCAATTTTTCGTTTCGGTTTTTTATTTTCTTTATTTTTACAATTTTTCGATGTTCCGATTTTATATATTTTTTTTTGTTTTTTCAATTTAGATTTTTTCGATTCTTCAATTTTTCGGTTTGCACTTTTCAATTTTTTATGTTTCTTTTTTTCGTTTTCTCATGTTAAAATGTTTTATATTTTTTTATTTTTTCGATTTTTCGGTTTTCAATGTCTTGATTTTATTGTTTTCCATTTTTTAATAACAAAAATCTTCAATTTTAAAAATTTTTCAATTTTTCGATTTTCAATTTTTTGGTTTTCAATTTTTCAATTTTCCAACTTTTAGGTTTTTTAATTTTTCGTTTTTTCAATTGTTTGATTTTTCATTTCTTCAATTTTTTATTTTCAATTTTTGTGGTTTACATTTTAAATACAGCGTGTTATTGAAAAGTACGTACAAAATAAAATCGGCAATTGGTCTCGAAGTATGGGTGCTAAAAGTAAAACAAATTCAGGTAAAAGTGTTCTCCTTTTAGAGATAAAAATGATTAAAATTTATGTCCAAATTCGTTGTACGCCTCTGATAAAAAGATCATCTTTCGTTTGTATAGCAATATTTACTCTTGACAAAAGTTTTATTGTTACAGTTGCTAGGATTTACTAAAATGAATTAATTTTACCTATTTATTCTCCAGTAGCGTCTAAAAAGGTTGGATAAGGGTTAATTTTCCCCTTATAATTTTGATAACACAAAATAAGTTTTTCAGACTTCTTAGACTTCGCGAATAACTGTCAATTTTGTTGTACGTACTTTTCAATAACACCCTGTATATAATAATAATTATAATTTTTTAAGTTTTTCACTTTTTCAATTTTACGATTTTAGATTTTTTCCATTTTTTAATTATTAGATTTTAAGACCCGGTTTACAAAAGCTCAGTAGTTAAATATTTGATTGCGATAAAAAAAAGCGTATCACGTGACTGACTCTGCGCCAATCAGACGTCGCCAAAGACCTCGTTAAATGCGTGATTAACTTAAAATCAGTTAAAGTATCACATAAACTGACTTTAAAATTTGTTCGTTAATTCGATTTTTAATTTTTGAGTTTCTAGGTATTTAATTTTTCAATTGTTCGATCTTTAACTGTTACTGTTTTTCGACTTACAATTTTTCGATTCGATTCGTTTTTTCTTTTTTCCAATTTTTCGATTCCTTAATTTTTTTGATTTTTAATTTTCTCGTTTTTAGTTTTTCAATGTTTCAATTTTGTGTTTCTTCAGTTCTCCGATTTGCAATTTTTCAATTCTCCATTTTTTCAATTTTGCAATTTCTTGTTTTTTCAATTTTTCGATTTTTCAATTTTCTTTTGATTTGTAACATTGAGAAATCAAAAATAAAAAAACGACAAAGTATAAAATGAAAACTTTGAAAAATCTAAAAATTGGAAATCAGGAACCTGAAAAGTTGAAGAAACGAAAAACCGAAAAATCGACAGATTAAAAATTGAGAAACTTAAAAATCGAACAAGTGCAAAATCGAAAAAACGAAATATTGTCAAATTGAAACATTTAAAATGAAAATAATCGGAGAATCGGATAATTGAAAAATTCAATAATTGAAAAATTGAAAATTTTAAAAATTCGAAAATAGAGGAGTTGAAAAATCAAACATTAAAAATTTGAAAAACCGACTAAACGAAAATTTACAAAATCGAAAAAACTATTAAAAGAAACAAACAAAATGAAAATCTAACAATTATGATATACTTAAAATCGAAAAAATGAAAATTAAAAAAATCGGGAAAACGAAAAACCAAAATCAACTTGAAAAACTGAAAAATCCCAAATCTGGAATATCAAAAAACTGAAAAATCGAAGAAAAATTGCAAACCGAAATCGAAAGAAAAATTGAAAATTAAAAAAATTTAACAATTGAACAATCACTCAAAAATGGAAAAATTGGAATGAAAAACCGAAAAATCGAGAAATCGAATCATTGAAAATCGGAATTTCGAGAAATGGGAAAATTAAAAATCGAAAAGTCGAAACGTCGAAAAATCGAGAAATCAAATCATTCATTAATCGATAAATTGAGAAATCAAAAAATCGAAAATTTAGAAACGTCAAAAATTGAATAACTGAAAAACCGAAAAATTAAAAAATCATGAAACTGAACCATCAGATTGTGAAATCGAAAAGTGAAAAAATCGAGAAATCTAAAGTTTGAAGAATCGAAAAATTTAAAAATCGAGAAATCGAAAAATCGAAAATTCGAAAAATTCAGAAATCGAGAAATTGTTATATGTATCTACAATTTTGATTTTTTTCCAAAAATCTCAATGTCTAGGATAAAAGCTCAACACAGATTCATAAAGCACAAATTCGTGACAATGTTACTTTTTAACATTTAAATAACATTTATTCGACAAAATTGTAAAATGACATTATCAACTTCTTGGGGGACGAAAAGTGAAAAAACGAAATGTAAAACTGAAATATAGAAAATGAAATAAATCGGAGAATCGCATAATTGAGAAAACCAAAGATCAAAAAATTGAAAAATTTAAAAATTCGAAAACAGATGAATTGAAAAATCAAAGATTGATATTTTGAAAAATCGACTGAACGAAAAGGTACAAAATCGAGAGAGCCATTAAAAGAAACAAACGAAATGAAAAAAACGAAAAATTGTGATATAAAATTGATAAAATGGAAATTAAAAAATCGGGAAAACGAAAAATCAAAATCAACTTGAAAAACTGAAAATTCCCAAAATTGAATTATCAAAAAATGGAAAAATCCAGGAAAGAGTTGAAAAATTAAAATATCCCACAACTGAGAAATTTAAAAATCTAGCAATCAAAAGGTCGAAAAATTGAAAATTTTAAAAATCGAACAATTGAACAATCAAAACACTCAAAAATGGAAAAATTGAAATAAAAAACTGAAAAATCGAGAAGTCGAGAAATCGAATCATTGAAAATGGAAAAATCTAGAAATGGAAAATAAAAAATCGAAAAATCGAGACCTCGAAAAATCCAAAAATCAAAAAATCGATTAATCGAAAAATTGAGAAATCGAAAAATTGAAAAGTCATGAAACTGAAGCATCGGAAAATTATGAAATCGAAGAGTGAAAAAATCGGGAAATTGAAAATTTGAAGAATCGAGAAATTGAAAAATCGAGAAATTGTTATTATACAATTTTAATTATTTCCCAAAAATCTCAATGTCTTTTTAACGTTTATAAACATTTATTCAACAAAATTGTAAGATGACACAATTTCTTGGAGTAGGGGGGCATGAACGGATAAATTTTGATCAACGATTTACTATGCTTTAATATTTCGAATTTTCGACTTTTCGATTCAAAAAAATGTAAAAATTTCTAAACTTTAAAAAATCTAAAAATTGGAAATAAGGAAAATGAAAAGTTGAAGGAACGAAAAATTAAAAAATCGACAAATTAAAAATTGAGAAACTTAAAAATCCAACAAGCGCAAAATCGAAATAAATTGGAGAATCGGATAATTGAAAAATCCAAAAATTGAAAAATTGAAAATTTTTAAAATTCGAAAATAGAGGAGTTGAAAAATCAAAGATCGAAAATTTGAAAAACAGACTAAACGAAAAGTTACAAAATCGAGCCATTAAAAGAAACAAACGAAATGAAAAAACGAAACATTGTCATATAAAATCGAAAAAATGGAAATTAAAAAAATTGGAAAAACGAAAAATCGAAATCAACTTGAAAAACTCACGAAATGAAAAATCGAAAAATTGAGAATCTGAAAAAAAGAAAAATGAAAGATTGCAAAACTGAAAAACCAAAAATTTTAAATTTTGGAAGTAGTGAAATTTGAAACATTTTTAAAATTAAAGTTCAAAACACGAAAAATTGTTATATAAAAAAATTGGTCAAAGGTAAATAAATCCAGATTTTTCGAAAAATTGTAAGACTTGATTTTGCGAATTTTATTTTTTTATGATAACCCTTATAAAATAAAATAAAGATATGTATGTAATGTTAAAGTAGAGAGTTTTTCCATTGCAAAATTTGTGATGATGTCATCAAAATTTTGGAAGGACACGTATATCAATTTGTATAGAATACAGTACTCTATTTTTGGGAAAATGGAGTGGGTCATTCTTGATTTAATCGATACAATGATTTGCCTTGTTTATTAATCTTTTTTTGTCACCCTGTATAAGTAACTCTAAAATCGATGGGTGCATTGATATATTACAATATTACAAATATAAAGTCGTAATAGTTTGCATATTTCAGAGAGAATTTATTCGGAAAAATTTTAAGACGACGTTTCATTAATGATTTGTGATGATTATGATAACCTTAAAACGTTTGCAAATTTTCTGAGCATTCAGTTTTGCAGTTTCAAATGTAAATTGAAAAATGTAATACAACTTTGATTTTTTTTTCAAAAATCTGAATATTTAAGGTTTATTGCAGTTGATAAAATTAAAATACTTACTAATGTAAATATTAAATGACGTCATCCT